AGATGAGTCGAAGCCAGTAAGTACACCACTTGCCCCTCATTTGAAGTTAAGTGCCCAATTGTCGCCAAATTGTGATGAAGAACGAGAGTACATGGCTAGAGTCCCATATGGAAATGCAGTTGGCAGTTTGATGTATGCGATGGTGTGTACAAGGCCCGACATTTCACAAGCAGTTGGTGTTGTTATCAGGTATATGCATGACCCTGGTAAAGGTTATTGGCAAGCTGTGAAATGGATTCTACGGTACATTCATAGTACTGTAGACGTTGGATTGGTTTATGAGCAGAATGAATTTGGTCAGTGTGTAGTTAGATATTGTGATTCTGACTATGCGGGTGATTTGGATAAGCGAAGATCAACGACTGGATATTTGTTCACTTTTGTAAAAGCTCCAGTCAGTTGGAAGTCTACCTTACAGTCAACAGTTGCTTTGTCTACAACAGAGGTAGAGTATATGGCGGTTACTGAAGCTGTGAAGGAGGCTATTTGGCTTCAAAGTTTGCTTGAAGACTTGGGAGTTGGTCAAAAGCACGTCTTAGTGCATTGTGACAGTCAGAGCGCTATTCACTTAGCGAAAAATCAAGTATTTCATGCAAGAACAAAGCATATTGATGTTCGCTATCACTTTGTACGAGAGATTCTAGAAGATGGAACCGTTGTGTTGAAGAAGATCAAGATGACGGAGAATCCTGCAGATATGATGACCAAGGTAGTGACAGCAGTCAAGTTTGAACATTGTTTAGACTTGACCAACATTCAGCATATTTGAGTTGGCTCCGAGAGGCGCATTTGGAGGCACCGCTAGCAGTTGAGTTGGAAGTGGGAGCAAAAATTAGTCAAGGTGGAGAATTGTTAGATTTTGATTAAGTTTTGTCCCACATCGGATGTATACCAAAGATGTGTAGGATCTTATTAGTATAAATAGGTCCCTTGCCTTTGGGTTACAATTGCACCTTATTCAATTCTCTTCTATTTAGAAGGAAATCCTTAATTAAGGAAATCCTGATTTGTGGGTTATTTAACCCTAGTTGTATTTTTTTGGTGAGTTTAGTAAATTTGGCGTTGCGGTTGGCGGTGCCCGGAGACGTAAGCTATTTTTGCCGAACTCCGTTATCAATTTTTGTGTTCTTTTCTTTCTCGTCTTTTATTTGTGTTGGCTT